GCAGTTTTAAGGTGTGTGTCTTTAAACAGCCACTCTGGGTTCTATGCCCTCCATGACCCCTTTTATTGAAAAGCTATTTCCAAATGTTTTCCTTCCAAAATTAGAGCGTCGTCCTAAGTCAGTTTTCTGTCATACAAGTGGTTTAGATGGTTAGTTTAAAAATCATTTTTTAGCAAAATATTGGAAGGTAAAGGGTAAACATGATCGATATTTGCTATCTTCATAAGGTTTTGAGTGTCTCAATCTTGATGAATTCACTGAATGCCCTTAGAAACCCTTCATTGACAATCTATTAATGTGCTCCGTGTAAAATTTGAAGCACTGCAAGCATTTCTTAATTGATTTTCAATAACCTGTACTTACCTGCCAAGCTCTGACTTGAGGGCTCCTGTTTCTCCTTCAACCTCGTTTTAAGCTGCTTCATATTCCAACCTTTCCTGTTGCCATACTTTTTCTAAACTGATGCATTTCTGAAGCAACTCTTTCTCTCCATAGAAAACAACCTCTCAGCAAGCTGAATTAAAAGTCAGGCAAAAATTTCTTTCCATTCTTTTTTCTGAAACTATTCGACTTCGAACTTAGCAAAATTATACTGGCTCTCCATTTGTCTAAATCCTTTTGTGCTCGAATCACTGTATAAGTTGCCTCGTTTTCTATCTTTTAATTTCTTAGGCTTCCGAGTTGAGATTTTAAATGGTCGATTTCTATTGCAAGTCTGCCTTCCAGATCAAGAGGAATCTGTGCCTACGTGCTCTAATGACCACTTCTTGGTTCATTTTATAATCACTTTGAGCTTGATCAAATCTGTGTTTTGTAATCAAGATATCTCTGACTTCAACATCATTCTCTTCGTGTGCCTTCTAAGTATTTGAATTCTTCGTTTTCTAGCTTTTCTTTAAATCAAGAAACGTCTTCTGCTAGCCTTCATCTTCTTGTATCTTTCTCTCTGAGGATTTCTCCCAAAAATAAAATCTCCTCCGGTAACCCTTTTACATCCTCTTTGCTCTTATTCTGGTTGCATTCTAAATCATCAAGCTTGATTGCTTTTCTGCAGACCTTTCAATTTTCTTTTTCAAGGAAGACCAAAGCACCACTTCACATTCACTTTTCTCTTGCCCCCCCAAACCCCCAAGGTTTTTTTGATCAGCATGTGAGCGAAGTCTCTCGTTTCTCTGCCATCAAAGTGCTGTTTCTTTTCACTCAGAGTTCGATTCCACTTTCTCTCTACTTTGCCAGTCCAGATTCTTCTTACGATGCACGTTCACTTAGAATAGCTTCTGAAGCCTTTTTTAAGGTCAGAGTTCTCCCGTTCAGGAACGCTGATCTAGATACGTCGCTTTGCAGTTCGTTGTTTCCTTTGCCAACACGCATCGTGTTCTGGTTTTCCAGCTCGCTTTGTATTGAATGTTTTTGCCTCTGCAATTAATTTTTTGCACGCTCCTGCTCCTTAAGCAAAATGCCGATGAAATCTTTCACATTTTACTGCCATGGCTTGTTGAGCCAACTTATCTGAACTGCATGGTTCTTGAGCCTATTCCATTTTGTCTTCTAAGATCTTCCTTCATAAGGGCTCCACTCAGAAGATTTTGACCTCACAAGATCTTTCAACCTCAGACCATCATTGGCCTTCTTAGCAACTAATTCTAGATTAACTTTTGATCTTCACAGATTAAATTAGCTTGCAAAGTTTCTCTTTTCATAGAATTGATTCAATTTTGGCAGAATATCATTTGCTTCTTTGAGATTTTTCACTGGTCCACCAACTTTTAATGCTTTCTCCTATCTCTTCATTGTGCCTTTCCATTTCTTCCCTTTATTCGTTCGCAATTCAACCTCCAGACGAAAAATATACCCCTTGTCTCTTTCCCTGTATGAGACTAAACTTTATCGAGCAGTTGATTCAGATAAACATTTTTGGACAATTCTTCATTCTTTTGCCAAAAGACTTTGTTTTTCGATTCATTACTCTCTCTTTCTTTTATTTCTTGCTTATTTGCTAGTCTTATGGCACAACCTAAGTCGGGCTCAGCTCATCTTCCAGTCCTACAACTCTGTTCCATGGCCGTCATTTTAAGTTTCTCTTTTTGCCTTGTGCAATAGATCCTGAGCTCTCAAAATTCAGAAAGAGTTGAGATGTTTTCCAACTATTAATTAACAAACTGCCTGTGGTGACTTTCACGACCTTAACAGCACTGCCAAGTTTGGATGAGTTCTATCTCATTACTACAATACAAGCAATTCTTCCTTTAGTTGACTTCATTCTCTTCGCATTTCTCTTTTTGATCTAAAACCTTAGTAATTGAGAAAACGATAAGTTTATACTGCGAAAAGGGATATTGAGACAACGAACAACTAAAGCACACATTATCATTAAAAGCAAAGCCATTATATCTACATTAAGAATTAGGTTTCTATTTACAGAATTTATAAACATAAATTACATTGAATTAAAAGTATAACATTCTTGAAATTGAAAGCTTACCAATATCATCTGAAACAAGATTTGTAGGATCATTTCCCCCCCCCCAAAAATTTTTCTGATCATTTGGCCGAATTTGGCGACTGGGTTTCTCGAATTTAGCGTGGCTTTGGCTCTTTTGTGTTTGGCACGATGTTATTGACCATTGAAGATGTCACTTTGGCAGGGAGATCTGCTGGTTGATGATGGGAGACGGCGGTCTCCGATTCCACTTGAAGATAAGGATCTGCAAAAACAAAAACATTTAACAAGAAAAATCTTATGAAATCTAAAGCAGACAATTTTAATCAACAAACAGATTTCAAATAAAAAGTGATTAAACAACCATAGAAGATTCATAAAACTGACAACTTATGTCATTGGAACCAAGCTGGTGGACATCTTTGTTCAACTGAGCCATGGGCTGATCTGGTGATAAGGTGTCAATCAGCGTTGCTGTTGGCTCTTTTGTGTTTGGCACGATGTTATTTGACACATTGAAGATGTCACTTTGGCAGGAGGATCGCTGGTTGATGATGGAAGACGGCGGTCTCCGATTCCACTGAAGATGGGATTCTGAGAAAACAAAATTCAAAACAAAAGTCTTATAAAACTCTCTTATGAAACAGAAATTTTAAGCCAAAAAAGAGTTAATAAGAAATGATATCATGAACATACCAGAGAAAGCATTCATTAACACTGACAACTTTGTCATTGGAACAATGTCTGGTAAATCTTTGTTCAACTGAGCCATGGGCTGATCTGGTGATAGGGTGTCATATCAGCGGTTGCTGTTTGGCTCTTTTTGTGTTTGGCCAACGATTTATTGACCCATTGAAGATGTCACTATTGGCAGGGAGGATCGCTGGTTGATGATGGAGAGACGGCGGTCTCCGATTCCACTGGAAGATAGGGATTCTGGTTGAGAAATGGAGATTTCATTAGATAACAAAAGAAATTTTATCAAACAGAAGTCTTCTTAACTCGGAAGGAAAAAAACATTTTCAGAAAAACAAAACTTGGTATAATTGATTTTGAAAAATACCAATGGAACATTCACTAAAAACGACAACTATTGTCATTGGAACCAAGTTCTGGTACATCTTTTGTTCAACTGAGCCATGGGTGATCTGGTTGAATAGGAGTGTCGATATCAAGCGGTTGTGTTGGCTCTTTTGTGTTTGGCACGATGTTATTGACCATTGAAGATGTCACTTTGGCAGGGAGGATCGCTGGTTGATGATGCGAGACGGCGGTCTCCGATTCCACTGAAGATAGGGATTCTGGTTGAGAAATGGAGATTCATTAAGATAAAACAAAGAAATTTTATCAACAGAAAGTCTTCTTAACTCGGAAAGGAAAAACAATTTCAGAAATAAACAATTGGTATAAATTGATGTGAAAACATACCAATGGAACATTCACTAAAACTGACAACTATGTCATTGGAACCAAGTTCTGGTACATCTTTGTTCAACTGAGCCATGGGCTGATCTGGTGATAGGGTGTCGATATCAGCGGTTGCTGTTGGCTCTTTTGTGTTTGGCACGATGTTTTTGACCATTGAAGATGTCACTTTGGCAGGGAGGATCGCTGGTTGATGATGGGAGACGGCGGTCTCCGCTTCCACTGAAGATAGGGATTCTGGTTGAGAAATGGAGATTCATTAAGATAAAACAAAGAAATTTTATCAACAGAAAGTCTTCTCTTAACTCGGAAAGAAAAGAAAATTTGAGAAGTAAAGCGTTTGGTAGAAATTGGTGTGAAAACATACCAATGGAACATTCACTAAAACTGACAACTATGTCATTGGAACCAAGTTCTGGTACATCTTTGTTCAACTGAGCCATGGGCTGATCTGGTGATAGGGTGTCGATATCAGCGGTTGCTGTTGGCTCTTTTGTGTTTGGCACGATGTTTTTGACCATTGAAGATGTCACTTTGGCAGGGAGGATCGCTGGTTGATGATGGAAGACGGCGGTCTCCGATTCCACTGAAGATAGGGATTCTGGTTGAGAAATGGAGATTCATCAAGATAAAACAAAGAAATTTTATCAACAGAAAGTCTTCTCTTAACTAGGAAAGAAAAGAAAATTTGAGAAGTAAAGCGTTTGGTAGAAATTGGTGTGAAAACATACCAATGGAACATTCACTAAAACTGACCACTATGTCATTGGAACCAAGTTCTGGTACATCTTTGTTCAACTGAGCCATGGGCTGATCTGGTGATAGGGTGTCGATATCAGCGGTTGCTGTTGGCTCTTTTGTGTTTGGCACGATGTTATTGACCATTGAAGATGTCACTTTGGCAGGGAGGATCGCTGGTTGATGTTGCGAGACGGCGGTCTCCGATTCCACTGAAGATAGGGATTCTGGTTGAGAAATGGAGATTCATCAAGATAAAACAAAGAAATTTTATCAACAGAAAGTCTTCTTAACGCGGAAAGGAAAAACAATTTGAGAAATAAACAATTGGTATAAATTGATTTGAAAACATACCAATGGAACATTCACTAAAACTGACAACTATGTCATTGGAACCAAGTTCTGGTACATCTTTGTTCAACTGAGCCGTGGGCTGATCTGGTGATGGGGTGTCGATATCAGCGGTTGCTGCTGGCTCTTTTGTGTTTGGCACGATGTTATTGATCATTGAAGATGTCACTTTGGCAGGGAGGATCGCTGGTTGATGATGGGAGACGGCGGTCTCCGATTCCACTGAAGATAGGGATTCTGGTTGAAAAATAGTGATTCATAAGACAAAACAAAGAAATTTTATCAACAGAAAGGCTTCTCTTAACTCGGAAAGGAAAAACAATTTCTTAAGTAAAGTGTTTGGTAGAAATTGGTCTAAAAACATACCAATGGAACATTCACTAAAACTGACAACTATGTCATTGGAACCAAGTTCTGGTACATCTTTGTTCAACTGAGCCATGGGCTGATCTGGTGATAGGGTGTCGATATCAGCGGTTGCTGTTGGCTCTTTTGTGTTTGGCACGATGTTTTTGACCATTAAAGATGTCACTTTGGCAGGGAGGATCGCTGGTTGATGATGGGAGACGGGGGTCTCCGATTCCACTGAAGATAGGGATTCTGGTTGAGAAATGGAGATTCATTAAGATAAAACAAAGAAATTTTATCAACAGAAAGGCTTCTTAACTCGGAAAGGAAAAACATTTTCAGAAAAAAAAACAATTGGTAGAAATTGGTGTAAAAACATACCAATGGAACATTCACTAAGTCATTTTAAACGTAAACAGGATTGCCTGCACATTTTTATTTCAATTGTAGAATTAATGTTGCAAATAGATCATCAAACATGCCTGTTCAGTTCAATTAGTACTTGGAAAAATTTACTTACACCTATGAGTGGTGTTTAATGAAGCGTCGGTACTCAACAGATGTATATATCTTAAACAAACAGAACGCCATTGATGATGGCTTGTGTGAAAGGACAGAGCAATGTGTCGAATTTTCTTCTGAAAAATAAAGCCAACCAATATACCGTTAAAGGTAACAGCAGTTGTGATGGAGCAGATGCCACCCAATCGTACATCATAGGTAGTAACTGGTAGCTTTGATCCAAAATTCACTCATAGGAGACAAACATTTCACTGTTGATCTTTAAAAATGGTAGCTGTATAGGATGCCAAATTTAAAACACTTTAAGATTCATTTGAAGTTCGTACAGGACTGTTTCTGTCACTTCATGCCTCTTATATTATAAATGGTTACTATTAATGTAAGACAGCTGACTTAGAAGCTGATTCGCTGAAATCAGTTAGCTTTGGAGCCATTGATTTTTGGAACTATCTTTTGATTTCTTAGAATCTTATACCGATGGTCAAGAAATGTCAGGGCATCAGACGGAAAAAGTTCGACAAAATCTAAGTTTGCAAATTCAAATTTTTAAGAAACATTTTTACGACTATTCATATTATTTGCTACTTTATCATCAAAAATTAATATTTATCTTTATAATAAATTTTTTAGAGGTTTCCAAATTGAAAAGTCACTCAGGAGGCTCAAAAAAACAGTAAAGGAGCGGTTCAGATTCCGTAAAGGGGCCCAACCTTTGGAATTCTGGGGGGGGGGCTTTGGGAATGCTTTCTGATCGAGTGGACAAATGCGACTCCGAAGTAACAGCTTTGTCAAGGCAGCAAGATATGAAGCCCCAGAGATTTGTCAAAATTGCAATTCTCAGTGGTGAGTCCTTTACCCTTGCAGACAATCTAAACTTTAAATAATGCTCGATAAAACTTCAAGAATACGAAAGAAAGAATTTTCCTTAGCTATATAGTGGCACTTACTATAGATTCATACGACACATAAAAAGAGTGAGCTTTTTTATGCGACAACTTATGATCTTTGTGAAAATACTACATATGTTAAACAACACTGTTTCGTAAAATATGTATGTTCTGATTATTCTATCGCGTATACTATCAGAACCAGCAATCTCTGTGAATTGGACACAACATCTCCAAGCATCACAAAAGACCTCTCTGCAGAAAGTGGAACATCATATTGGCCAATAACACAGTGCCATACTCCAAAAGAGCCAACTCATGCACAAAATTCACCCGTCGGCAGCTGGGACCCCAAGATGTACCAGAATTAGTTCCAATGAAGTAGTTCACTTTAGTGGTTGTTAACATTTGGTCAGTTTTCAAAAAAATGTTGTAAGCCAAACGCTTACGTTCTGAAATTTCTTTTCCTTTCGAGTTATAAGGTTTCTGTCTATTAAAATTTCTTGTTGTGTATCTTAATTGAATCACATATTGTTTCAAGCAGAATCCCTGATGCTCAGTGGAATGGAGACCGGCGTCCTCCATCATCAACCATGCGATCCTCGACTGCAAGAAGATGGATATTTGATCGGTCAAGAAACATCGTGCCAAACTACAAAGAGCCAACAGCAAACCGCTGGATTTCGTACACTGATCACCAGACTAGCCATGGCTCATTGTTGAACAAAGATGTACCAAGAACTTGGTTCCTATGACATAGTTGTCGTATTTAGTGAATGTTCATTGGTATGGTTTTTCAAATCAATTTTATATCAATGTTTATTCTCAAATGTTTTTCCTTTCCGAGTTAAGAAGACTTTCTTTTGATTAAAAATTTCTTTGTTTTATCTTAATGAATCTCCATTTTTAAACCAGAATCCCTATTCAGTGGAATCGGGAGACCGCCGTCTCCATCATCAACCGCGAGTCCTCCCTGCAATAGTGACATCTCATCTTGGTCACATGAAACATCGTGCCAAACACAAAAGCCAACAGCCAAGGTATCGAACAACCCTATCCACAATCAGCCCATGGCCGTTGAAACAAATGTACCAGGAACTTGGTTCCAATACATAGTTGTGCAGTTTTAGTGGAATGTTCCAGTTGGTATGTTTTCACATAAATTATACCAATGTTTTTTTCTGCATAAATCTTGTTCATTTCCGAGTTTAGAAACTTCTGTTTGATAAAATTTCTTGTTTTATTTATATGAATCTCATTTCTCACCAGAATCCCTATCATTCAGTGAAATCGGAGACCGCGTTCCTCATCAACCAGCACGATCCTCCCTGCAAAGGTGACATTTCATATTGGTCTAAACATCTGGCTAAACATCAAAAGATGCTCAACAGCAACCTGCTGATAACGTACACCTATCACCGAGATCAGCGCCATGGCTCAGTTGAACAAAGATGTACCAGAACTTGGTTCCCAATGACATAGTTGTCTGTTTTTTAGTGAATGTCCATTTGTAGTTCAAATCAATTTATAACAGTTGTTATTTCATGAAATGTTTTTTTTGCCTTCAGTTAAGAAGACTTCTGTGATTAAATTCTATTGTTTTATTTTGATTAATCTCCATTTCTCAACCGAATCCTCATCTTTCAGTGGTGAACGATGGAGACCGCCGTCTCCATCATCAACAGCGATCTCTCCCGTGCCAAAGTGACATTTTCAGTATGTCATATAACATCGTTGCAAACAAAAAGAGGTCAGCAACAGATACCGCTTGAATCGATCACCTATCATCCAGATTCAGTCTCCATGGTCTATACAAAGATGTACCAGAAGCTTGGTTCGAAGGACATGAGTTGTCAGTTATTACGTGAA